TATATAAGGGCGCCGCCACCGCGAGGTGAGTTAGTTACAATTCAGCAAGCTACAAGTAAAGTGAGCGGAGAATTGAGTTGCGAATAAGCAAGCTATAAGTTTAATTGTGTTAACAAGTAGTAAAGCGTTGTTATTGCTTTAACAAGTATTGTAAAGTGTTTTTACTGTATTAGCAAGTATTGTAAATTGTTTGTTGTACAATAAAGTTAATTGTACTACAATTTGGTCATCGTTAGCATTTATTTAACAATCCAGCGATACGAGCCGAGAGATTTGGGAAATCCCTCAAGGTTTCAAAGATAATCGTAACAATAGCATATCGTCCCGTTTCTGCCTTACGGCCCGTCTCCACAGGCAAACGTTTTTGCCTACCAACTGTCATTTTTATTGCCTGATAAAAATTTTATCAGCGGCAATATTTGTGCGTGGGCATTTTTTATCTTGATAAAAGCATATATAAGATGGCAATTTTTGCCGGATTTCATCAATTAAAAAGTTTAAAAAGTATGCTATTTCACACCCAAGCAAATAATAACACATATTTTAATAGAAAACAGTTCAATTTTTGCTTTTATATTGAAATATCGATAATGTTGTCTCCACGAAGCTATCGCGCAAATGAAAATGTAGCTGTCAAAGTACCAAATTGCTGGCAATATTTATCAAGATAAAAGCTCTGATAATTATTGCTTGCCAAGAGCAATATGCGGTCTCCGTGGGCAAAATTTTGCCTGATAACATTATCAAGATAAAAACTTTTGCCTGTGGAGACAGCAAGTTAACCACGTATCTACATTTTTTGGGAAAACTAATATTACCACTTATGACAGTTGGTTAAGCGTCACACTATTTGAAAATAGAACAAAGACTTAATGAGGGTGCTCACTACTGTTAGTGGAACCAGAAATATTAAGTAAAAAATGCGTTTATTGTATCCTAGGGGAAAAAATTAAGCATTTTTTCTAACACTCTCTAAAATACCTCTATTGCAGATACGAGGTTAAGGCAGAAACGGGACGATATAACACTAACAGTTGTTTTATTGCACTGCTGGCAGTTGTACTTATACCTAACTATATAAAATTATACGCCAAATTAAAGGAATTTGTATGGTCTTTCCGATAAACATATTTGTTAATAAAGTTAAATACGTATTTTTTTACGAAAAGCATACATTTTTATAAAAAAAAATAAATAAAATAAAAAATTGCCATAATTTCGTTTTTTTTTTTACTTTTTCTCAAAATATGTTTGCATTATATACAAAGATATATATAGTGAATGAATTATATATATAGATATATATATTGAATGAAAGGTCCTTCAGTTACCTTTCCAACTGTGTCCATATTTTGAATCGGCTAAATAGTTTTCAAAATATAAGCTTTTGGAAATGTTGGAAATTCCACGTTTCCCCGCCCTAGCCGCCCCTGTCAATTTGCACCAAAAAAAGTTTACCATTAAACTCAGCAGAAAGGGGTGCACCACGTCCACGTTTTCTTTTTTCTCTAGCTCAAGGGTCCGTATTCTTTAGGTATGCCAAACTCAAAATTTTGACGACTCGAAAAATTCGAGTTTTCCTCGTTATTGTAAATTGTTTAAAATTTACACTTTCAACGTGTTGGGATACAGGGCTCTTTCATAATTCGTGCAACTTTGTTTGCAATATAGCATATGGCATCCCCGTAGTTTCTCCTTGGCTTGGGTTGACGATTGACAGCACTGATTTCAAACTAAAAAGATATTCAACCCGAGCAGAAGTGGAAACTGCGGTAAGTTTTTCCTTTTTATAAATTCCTTTATTAATGCATTGTTTTATTCATATCTTTCGAAATAAACAAGAGACAACATTGTACGTTCTATTTCATTCATTTCTGCGAGGGCCAGCAACATTTTTATTTCGCAGCTTCGTTTGCAGCTAAGTCCTGCGAAAATATGATTCACCATACACCTCGCCGTAGCCTCCGTTTCCAGCCAGGAGCAGGCAGCCAGCCTGAGGATGCTCCGAGATGTCTGGCAATCACATCGCCGCCTAACACGGATTCTCTAGATACCGGAGTTCTAGATCACTCGACTACGACCACTTTCACTTTGTCGTCCAG